AATGGGGAGAACAATTTGGGGCAGTTACCATGAAAGTTGGGGGTGGAGAGAAATGTGAGAAGAATTTTAAGATGTGGTGCAGTAGGTTTATTTTAAAAAATAACTTGAAGAATCAGAATCAGAATTACTTTTTTTCTTCTTTGAATGTTGTGAGACTGGGTCATATAGACCCTCACTTATATTCGAGTAGTAGTAGATTTGTTCTAAGATTGGGAAACAGCAGATGGAGCTCCAAGTTATTTTTTTGATAAATCACGCTAGTGGCAGAGTTCTTTGCTAGTATGAAGAAATAGGCTCTGGGCATCGTCTGGAAGGAGAGGGCAGTATCAAAAACTACTTTTTATGCATAAAAACATCATGGGAATATGATTTTTGAGAGGGTATCTTAAGGGATTGAGGAACCAGGGAGATGGGGAGAGGGTCAAGCAACATGATGAAAGGGCCAGGACTTCAGTGCAAAATATGGCCATTGCAAAATTTCCAGTGGTGAAGATGGCTGGGAGAAATTCAAGAACAGTGATGTGTAATGTTAGATTTATAACTGTTTGCTCTGCCATGACGGAACCCTCCGTTGTTATGTCCAACACGACCCTGTGGGAGACATACTTAGGGAGATATTCAGTTAACATTGGACAGAGAAAAAAATAGCTATAGGAAGCTAGAATGAGTAAGAATAAGGCTTCTGTAGGATCTTGAAATAAGAATAAGTAGTAATATGAGAATATAATTTCCTATAATCTGTAGAAGCATTGGGAAGAGCATTATGGATTGGGGGCAGGAGTAATGGAAGCATGACCCTATAAATTGGAAGCAGACACGTAGATTACGAGAATACCGTAGCTTTTCTCCCATCATCGACAATGGTTGTTTCTTTGGATGGTTTTCATTTTTTTTTGACTGATGTGAAAAAGCTGACTCCACAGTCAGCTACTGAAGAAAGAATTTGCAAAAGCATCCTTTCTATCCAGAACGAAGTGATAATTGAGTTCAAACAACAACAATAAAAAACTTTGTTGCTCTTCTAACAGCAAAGTTGGCAAATCACAAGACATTTAATTTTATGGGGCTAGATGGGCTCCTGGGAAACCCAAGATTAAATACCTTGAACAATTTGTTAAGGGTTCTGCACTCTAAATGGCCTCTAGATCAGCACAGCTGCGGGCAATTTGCAGGAGACTGGCAATGTGGTGTGTGGACCCAGTGGCAGGGAATGCTAATCTGAGACTATCCCCTCCAACAGCTTTTGCCATTCATCATTTTCACATCCAGATGGCTCCCATTGTCTTTCTAGTCCTCTTTTTGTGCAAAGTGGCTGCTCTTAAATCATGGTATATTAGTCTTGGAAGCAATTTTATTATTCATCTAGTAGTCCAATTACAGCTCTTTGTAGAAGAGGAATTGGAAACCCAAAGAGGGGAAATATCACGGTTAGATCTACCCAGTTACTTCATGTCACAGCTGAGACAAGAACATTTATCTCTTGGATCTCAGCCTGGTGCTCATTCCAGTTCACCAGGATCTGATAACTTTGGTGAAAACATGTAGCACAGGATTTGGAGTCAGATGATCTCAAGTCCAGATCTCATCTCTGTTATATAATGTGACCTGGGAATGTTAACCCTGTTTTCTCATGTGTAAGATGAGGATGATAATGGAACCTCCATCACAGGCCGTCATGACAACAAATGGATACTGATATTTAAAGTGCTTATTATGGTGTCTGGTCCATAGTAAATGCTCAGTTAGCTTTTATCATTATGGCTCCAAGTCTTTTCACATTAAAGCATGAAGAATTGGTTCTTTTTAGGAAGGAAGGCGGAAGAGTTTTTTGTTCATGAGCTTCTGGCCAGGCATACGTATTAATTATATAGTTCAGTTCAGTGATCAAGGCTTGCCAACATGATGGTTGAAAATGTCTTTCAATAGGGAACATTTTGCTAGACAGCACGGAGAATGAAAATTTTAAGTTCTTAAATACTGTGCCCCCTGTTGGTATCTGGCAACCATTGGTAATTCATTGGTAATGATCATTAGTGGACCTTGTCAGCAACTTGGGGTACCAAATATAAAGAGACTCTCTGAATTCATGGTATTCTGCATATTTAAGGAACTGTTTGCTTTTTCAAGATTATAAAAATGGCTTCAAAATAAAACAACACAATCTTTCTTTGAGTTAAAAACTTGAAATCTTGTAAGGTGATCAGCATCTGGAAGATACTGGAAAAAATATACACTTGGAAAAAATTAGCAAGAAAACAATAGTGTTTGACGTACTGACATTTATTTACTCTCTACTGAACAGTCTTTCCCATGAGTCATAACATCTTTACCATTAGTTATAGAAGTTCAATTTCCATGACATCAAAAGCCTCCACAGACTAATTGCAGAGGAATTACATGAGGGTGAAAGTTTTAAGATTCAAATTCCTTTGGTTCTACCCTAGAGGTTTTGGTTCAGAAGGTCTAAGGTAGGGCTCAGGAATCTGCATACCTAAAATCTCTCTAGATGATTCTTGGGCACCTAAAAATTGAAAACCACTGGCCTAAGGGAAGTACTACTTTGGGATTCTGTTGCTTCAAACAAAAGTATTCCATGTCTTAAGAAAACCTAACATACTCAAATCTTAGAATTAAAATGACTAGGTAGGACCCGGCGGTCCAGTGGTTAAGACTCCTCACTTTCACTGCCGAGAGTCCAGGTTCACTCCCTGGTTGGGGAACTAAGATCCCACAAGCGGTGCAGTGCAGTCAAAAGTAAAAAAAAAATAAAAAAAAATAAAAAAAATAAAAATGACTAGGTAATGCTTATATGCATCTCTCAAGGATTTCTTGCTCTATAAAACGATTTATGTTTTGTTCTTATAATAGTGAGTTTTTGCACATGTGATTTTCTTTGTACAAATTTGATTAATGCTAACCTCCCCTCCCCAAAACAACAATAAAAATCCAAACAAGCAACAAATGTCAATAATCAGCTCAAATCTGACCTTACCTATGAAGTCTTCTTCTGAGTTTAGATGGTCCTTGATATCTAAGTCACTCACCATCCTGCTTTGTAATACAAGGCATTTTCACATGTATATAGCTTGTCTCCTTAATTATATTTTGAATACTTTCAAAACAAGGACTGTGAGTACATTTGCTTGTGATTCTTCCCTTCTTTCCTTCTTGCTTGCTGTTATTCATTTATTCATCAAAATTTATCAGATGTCTGCTGTAAGTCAGGTTCTGTAATAAGTTCCAGGGTGGAGGGAAATCCAATGACACTAAGATGAGGGTATGGACTATATCAGGTGTTGGCAAACTACAGTTCACTGGCCAAATCTAGCCAGCTCCTTTTTTTGGTAAGTAAAGTTTTATTGGAATACAGCCATACCCATTCATTTAGATATTGTCTGTAATAGCTGCTTTTTTGCTAGAGTGGCAGAACTGAGTAGTTGCTGTAGAGACTATATGGCCTGAAAAGCCTAAAATGTTTACTGTAGTCAGCTCTTCATATCCATGGGTTCTGCATTCATGAATTCAACCAACCACAGATTGAAAATATTTTTTAAAAAAATTCCAGAAAGTTCCAAAAAGCAAAACTTGAATTTGCTGCATACTGGCAACTATTTACATAGCATTTACATTGTATTAGGTATTATAAGTAATCTAGAGATGATTTAAAGTATTTGGGAGGATGTGTGTAGGTTATTTACAAATACTACACCATTTTATGTAAGGGACTTGAGCATAAGCAGATTTTGGTATTGCAGGGGTTCCTGGAATCAATCCCCCATGGATACCAAGGGACAACTGTATTTGTCCCTTTACAGAAAGTTTGCTGACTCCTGGATTATATGATTGCTAAGGTCCTACCCAGTTCACAGCACTCCACTGATGAATGCTATGAGCTGGAAGTGCAGGGTCCTGTCAGGGACTGATGGGTATCTCAGGAGGCAATATTTAATCTGAGACCTGGAGGATTTGTAAGAGTTAAGTAAGGCAGGCCAAGAATGGGGGAAGGGCATTCCAAGTTTTATGAGTTTTATGAGATTTTATTTCCCCAAAAAATGTTGTGGCCCAATAGAAGGGGAAAGTAAAAACATATAAAGACTACCAATATTTATTGTTATTATATAGGAAATATGATGAAATGATTATGTTCTGAATCAGTGGTCTTATGACTTTTTTTCAGCTAGCTAAGCATGCGGAATTAGATGCCATTTAACCTTTTAGAGCAGGGATCAGCACACTTTTATCTTAATGGGAAAATAGTAAATATTTTAAGCTTTGCCAGCCATACAGTCTCTGCCACAACTATTCATTTCTGTTACTGTAGCATGGAAGCAGCTATAAGCAATATGTAAATGAATGAGCATTGGCTATGTTTCAATAAAACTTTATTTATGAATAGTGAAATTTGAATTTCATATTATTTTCATGTGTTGTGAAATATATATTATTATTCTTTGATTTTTTTTCAATGAATTAAAAATGTAAAAACCATTCTTAGCTCGTGGGCCATACCAAAACAGGTGGTGGGATGAATTTACCTGGTAGGTCATAATTTGCAGACCCCCGTTTTGGTATGACATTCTTTACTGGTAAAATGGGAGGATATTTTCTCTACCAACCACCTAGGGTGGTGATGAGTGAGAGGCATTTGTTCTTTGAAGTTCTTTGCATAGGGCAACATGTTCAGATGTGATATACTGTCATTGTATATTCACAAAAATTATTGAATTATCCACAGTTGCAGGATGCACAATTTTCCTGAGAGTTGATGAGAAATTTATCTTTTTCATGAATAATTTTTGCTGAAGGAAGGGAAAATTTGAATATATTTTCCATATGTAATAGTACAAGTATGATTCTTTTATTCCTAATATTCCTAGAACACTGGTTGTAAGTTATTTTCTAAGCAGAGAAGGGTTTGAGCTAATTACAACAACTCAGATATCTTATTGTACTTTATTTTTCCTCTTCTCATTGAACTTAACATTTTTTATTTTATGTAGATGGTTTGTTGGAGAGACTGGACTTGAGAAGGTACAATCAGGAACCAGCTTCATTATTTTCCAAGCACTGCCTTCAACTAGACTCTTTGGATCACCTTCCCCAATTGAGAGGATTTCTTCGCCAAATCTCAGACACTTTCAGGTATTTGAACAGTCTCATTATCAGATATTGTGAATTTGTGTGCAACTCAAATCAAAACGTTAATCACTGATCTAAGTCAGGGTTTCTGTCTAAGCAACCTCTTCCCTGCAGGCCTGACCGCTGAATCCCTAGTCTACCACTGGGAAAGGGCAACATAGTTCATTCTTTGGTTGTGCTTGCTCCACCTGGTCCTTCCATTCCCTCTGCTGCTTATGGCTCTTCTAGAGTTGAGCACAGAGCGTGTACGAGTGTATGTGGATGTGTGTGTGTGTGTGCACACGTGCACGCACGTGCTGAACTTACAGAGAAAGGGCCAAGTGTTACTTCTCTGATGCTGGTCAATTTGATTGCTGGTGCTTTGTTTCATGACAAGGGTAACCTGCTGGCTCTTCCTACCATGGGGCACTTGTAAGGACTCTTTGGACACCCCATGAGGAACAAGTGCTGCCCTCTTAGGATACTGACATCCCCTTGACTTCTGCCCACTGACAGTGTGCTCCTGGTGTTCCCTTTGTCGTGAAGCAGGAGTTCTCTCAAGATGGCTCTGGCTCACCAACCATTCTGTGTGCCCACCTGCCCTTCCCACCCCAACACTCTGGATTTATTTCTCCCCAATCTCCCTGAAGGATTCTCCTGCTGACCCTTCACGGAGCTTGAGGAGAGAGAGGGCGTATGTTTCAGAGCACTCTGTTTCCACAAACACCCTTCAAAATATACTCGCTCTTCCTTATTGAATCTCTGGGCTTCTTTTATCCTGGGTGGGGTTACGTGATGACTTAAGGACTCCTACTGGACTGGATAGCAATTCCTTCAGAGGTGTGCAATGTATGGGCATTAATTGACCGTGATTGTCATTAGGGTTCCAGGAGACAAGAAACGTCCCACATAAATTGCTGTTTCATTTATATATGCCTATTTGTCTCCCCTGTTGTATTTCCCCTTCCCCTTACTGTATTCATAAGCTACTTGAGGACAAGATTTCTTTGCATTTTCCCCAGTTTTAATACTCATTCAATGGATCATTGAATTCCCTCCTAATTACTAAGTAAATGGGGATTGAAGTCAGTGGGCTGATTCACTCATTCAGTATTGAATGCCTACCATATGCCAAGTTCTGTAATAAGTGCTGGGGATATAGCAAACCAAAAAGACATAATCCATGACTTCAAGGCTTTATTTTAGTGGAGGGGATATATATTAAACAATCACAGGAATATACAATTAATTTCAAATTTTGATGTGTGCTGTGAAGTAGTGCAGAGTCCTGTCAGAGAGTATAAATGGGAACTTAATTTAAATTGGGGTGATGGGTGTCTCAGGATGTGGTATTAATTTGAGAACTGGAGGATTTGTAAGAATTAAGGCAGGCCAGGAATGGGGGAAAAGCATTCCAAGCAAGAGAAATAGCGTGCATATAGACCCTACTGCAGGGAAAAGCTTGGCGTTTTAGAGGATGCTTTGAAGGATGTAAAAAAAGGTGAGTGTAGCAGATTGTGAATTGGGGGGAAAGAGTAGGGTAAGGTGAGGATAGAGAAGTAGTCCGGAGTTTGACCATACAAGGAACACAGGCCATGATAAAGGATTTGGATTTTGTCTTAAGAGCAGTGGGAAGCTTTTGAAGAGTTTAAAGCATCCCATTTGCATGCATAGGTGGTTCATATTCAATAACTTTTTGGCATAAGGGATATAGTTAATAAATACAGGAAAGGTGCCTTATCAACAGAGGTCAATGCCTGTTTTAGCCTTATACATGTTCTGCAAATCCTACTGCTTTCAATGAAGACATTCTTCAAAAAACACATCGTGTTCCTTGCTAGTCTGAGACTGCATTTGATCATACAGATGGAGTTGTATTCAAAGGACATTCCATTGCTCTGCGGAAACATTTTGGAGCAATCCTGCAGATTTCAGATAACCTAATGGTGAGAATTCTGTTCTTTCAGTGGGAAACCATAGCAACATGCCACTTAGAAGGCACACTATATAATCTGTTCTTCAGTTAGTATTTTGCAGTCCAGAAATAGTCATCATTGCCTAATGTGAGTATGCAAAAGGTCACGCAAACATAAGCCCCAATGACAGTGCAGTTCTCCCTCTAACCACAGAGTGGTGGTGGGGAACTGCACCTTCTCTGGGAGACGCACTATCAGGCGCATGGGGGGCCAGGAAGGAGGAAGGAATTTGGGCTAATAGCTCTGTGTTTCAGCACAAATTGTAAGTTGATCCTCAATCTCTAGTACAAAGAATGGGGCTATGATCGATAGATCTGGATCTTTTTCCAAAACCTCATATACAGACAGACCCAGTACCCCTGGGTGCAATTCTTGTTAAACTGCAAGATTTATGGTTCAGAGATTTTATGTCCCAGCACCTTTTGTGATTTCAAACACACTCCCTATCTTGCCTTAGGTGCAAAATAATAATCTGTAAATTCTCCAATAAATACATAAAGAATTGAGAAACGTAGAGAGCCAAAGCTGCCAGCTTGGTATCCATCAATGTGTAATGGTTGAAAGGGTCTTTGCTAAAAAACAGGTAGAAATGGTAAGATCTTTAGGGATGGGGATTCAAGATAGTTGGTCACAGTATTACTTCAGTTAGTATTTAGTCAGTGAAAAATGGTGAAACTCCATGGAAAGAAAAGAGAAAAGCAAAAGGAAAAGAATCTCCTGGGGTCTTCTACACTGCTGGTAAGACGTATGGATATGTTTTGTTTTGATGAGAATCACGTCTTAAGGTGCCATTTTCTTCTCCTATCTTCCTCCTATCTAGGATATTTCCCCCCTTTTCTTTCTCCCTGTGATCTCATTGGGTCTTGCATTGTTTTTTTTTTTTTTTTCCGTACGCGGGCCTCTCACTGCTGTGGCCTCTCCCGTTGCGGAACACAGGCTCCGGACGCGCAGGCTCAGCGGCCATGGCTCACGGGCCCAGCCGCTCCGCGGCATGTGGGATCTTCCCGGACCGGGGCACAAACCTGCGTCCCCTGCATCGGCAGGTGGACTCGCAACCACTGCGCCACCAGGAAAGCCCTGGCTTTTTAATTTTTAGTGCTTTGTGCTGGCACCATTTTGTGAAATGGCTCCCCAAGCAGCCCATCTGTAAGGGCTCCAGTGGGCTGTGTGCTCTATCCATCACCCTCTCCTTAATGCAAGCATTACAAAGATTGGTTGCTAAGAATATTTACTTCCCACCCTTGTTGACTCACATCCCCAGTGTGTCAAGGGCCCACCAAGAAGACCTTTAAAAGACATCGCACAATTACATGGGAATGATACCATGACAGAGGCCTAGGGGAACACAGTAATGCTACCCCAATGTAAAATGGGCATTTGCTTTAGGTCTGTACCTAAAGTATGGAGAGGGTGAAAAGAGAAGTCAGAGCTCCTGGAAATGATGCCCAGAGGTATTTAGTTTGATTCATTCATTCATCTCTTCCTTCATTCTTTCATTATTCAACAAATATTCCTTGAGTACCTACGTGTCAGGTATTGTGCTAAGTATTGGGGATATAGCATAGACCTGAATAGACATAGTTCCTCCCTGAAGATAGTTCATGGTCTTGTTGGGCTGCATCCCGCGGGCCTGCAAACCTTGTAATTGCTCAGCTGAGAGACTAAGGAAAGAGCCCAGAGACAGTGACAGAGACATCAGTTGTTTACTGTATAGGGAATCTTACAAGTCTGAAGCAAAGTCCTGGAGTGACAACCCACTGTATACAGCAGCTGGTGGACAGGACATGGCAACAGTCTTCGCTACTGGGGACGGGGGAAGGGGGGTGAGAAGGAGGCTACGAGTTATAGGGGGAATTGATGTCAGTTTGGCTTATCAGTTACCAGGGAAACCAGAAGCTGGGGCAGGGGGCAAGCATGTAGGGAGTTACTGATTAAGCCCTATAATAAAGAGGACTGGATAGTCATGTGAGTAGGTGTAGGTAAAGCAGGGAATGTACAGAGGGCAAGAGAAATAGCTATCTTGAGTGGCCTGTCCATGCAGTCTGCTATGGTAAATAAATAAATGGGCAATTACTATACAGTGTGATAAGGACAATGAGCTTTGGCCATGTGGATTTTATGTGAGTGAGAAATAAACTTTCTTTTGGATTAAGCCACTGAGATTTTATGGTTGTTTGTCACTATGGCATAGCTTATCATAACTAACAGACTGTATCTGCATAAGAGGAATTATACCTGCCTAAATCCTCTCTCAAGTCTTCTTTTCATGTTTTAGGAATATATTCAGAGGCCAGGATTCATTCCTCAAATTGATCTCTATTTAGCCACATTATTGTAGAAATTGGCCTTTCCTTGCCTCTGTCTCATCAAAAAAGAAAGCTCAGGTGGATATTCCTGCTGCTTATCTTATGTTTAATGGAATCCTCCTGTGATTTGGCTAAACTTGGCATCTGAAGAAATTTCATATCATCCATTCTCAGCAACCAAGAAGCAAGTTCTGTTTCTTCTCTGCTTCAGTGCTCCTGCCTGATGCTAAGACAGCTGAGTAATTTTTCCCTACTTATTGCTCTTCCAAAGCACAAACGCTGTCTTCACTTTAACATTAATGAGTTATTCAGCTGATATAACTATTTCTAGCAAGTAAATTACCTACAGCTGCCTATCAACAAGGCTAGGGCAAGGTGATTACAAAAGAGAGGGATTTTATTTAAAATGAAATTGAGCTAGTTTCTTAAACCATACAGTCTGTCCCTTTTGGCCATCAACCAGAAGGGGACAGTATAAGAGCACGGTTTGCTCACCGCTCACTGCACCAAGTCTTTGAATAATCTGCATTTGAGAATGTTTTTTGTTAGAAATCACACCAAGTGCTTTGTGAAATTATTTTTGCATATATTTCCAGGGCTGAGAAATTCCAGAGCATTAAAAAAAAACCCTCCAACATATACGAGAGATGTTTAATGGCCTTGGCTTAAACTCCAGGAGACCGAGGTGGAATTTTTCTATCAAAGGTCAGTTAAAAGGTTGACTCGAGGAAGAACAGGCAAA